CTAGCTTATCTTAGGCCAAGATACGCCTGGTTGTGTGGATGCCTGTTGATAGACCCGAAGTCCATTAAACCAAGAGTATGTCTGCTAGGTAAGGTCAAGAGGAGAGTGTGGTCGTGTACAGAACGTTAGCGAAAGCTCGTTCAGTGTGTGTTTGTGTGGGCAGAGGGTTCTCACATACACTAGACTTCCTACCGAGGATTCCCTCGGTGCCCCTGTACTAGGTTTGCGAAAACCGGTACCCTTATTCTGAGGGACTGCAGTGGGTTTGTGCGAGAGCGCTAAATACACCTCCTAGTCCTCATTCGTGGCTAGGTAGGTTTCCTAAGGGTTGACCAAAGGCAACCCAGGGTACACAGAGGCTAGTCCAACCCGGTGTAAGAGATCGTTCCTGGTCTTCAGGTATTGATCCATCAAATCACTAACCTTGCGGTGAAGTGTGTGTTGTTGGTAGGAACTCACCCGAACGTGAGAATTCTATCGTGTCCTACACGACATGATCCTGATCTTCCGGACTACGAAGACCTCGACGATATGCCCATGGAAGATGGTGATACCGAGATCGAGGAACCTGAAGAAGATGAAGGCAGCACCAACGAGTGGAACAAGATGCCCATGATTACTTCGTATCCATGTAGATCAGAAACCGCAACTCAAAGCCAAGATTCTAATTGTCAAAAAAAATATCATGAAGAGACGATCGAGGACGAACTGGAAGAGAAAGCCTGAACCTCGTATACTTGAAGAACTTGAACAAGCAAAAGAAAACGAAGTCGACATTGCACAAGAAAAATATCTGCGAACCTGAATCTTCAAACCCATTGCCGAAACAACTGGATAAGTTGCAGCAGAATCAGCATGAAAACCCTGATGACTGGACTCGCCTCCCTCTTTGGGACAAACTTGATATTGTTGACTCATACCCAAATCTGAGTACGCTGAGTGCTGAGGATGTCCAAGAAAACGAAAGTCGTGAGGCAAAAGACGACATTTCAGCTACTCATGAGATGGAAGCAGTGGATCTCGATAATGACATGGATGTGTGTATTGTTCCAGAGCATTTGGTTGGAGAACCGCGTTTACCACTGGAAGCAGAGTTGGAAGATGTCCAAGAACTAAAACGACAACGAGTACTTGAAAATCAGTCCCGTCGAATGATTCTTCGTGCTCCTAATGAGCGTCATTCTCCGAAACGATTCGATGATTTTCACATGTATGCAAGTTTCTGTAAAAGGAAACTATCAACGATCTTGCACCTTAATTGGACGTCAAACCAAGATGGCATGTCTAAGAGGTGAAGGTACCGAAGAATTTTGCTGAAGCAATGCGCTCTCCGCAGAGTTCTGAGTGGTTAGCCGGTATGCAACGGGAGGTAAATGCGATGTTTGCCAAGGGTGTCTTCGAAATAATCGATGGAAATGTCATGCCAACCAGTGCAAACTTACTAGGGATAATGTGGCGATATCACGTGAAAACAAATCCGGATGGGTATGTGTATACCTTTCGGGCTCGACTGGTTGGGCGTGGTGACTTCCAAGTATTTGGCGTAGACTACGATATCACATATTCGCCAGTTGCGAGAATGGTGACATTTCGGGTGGTACTCGCAGTTGCAGTGAAATTAAGCTTAATAATCTACCAGGGGATATTGACATAGCGTACCTGATTGTACAATTAAAGATTCGACAGTACGTACGGAAAATTCCAGATTTTCCATGTCCTGAAGGAAAGGTTTACCAGGTGAACCAAGCACTATATGGACTGCACCAGTCTGGAGCTGAATGGTTCGAGGAAGTGGATAAACTCTTGAAGTCGCAAGGATTTCATAGCACGGAGACTGAGCCATTAAGGTTTACCAGGTGAACCAAGCACTATATGGACTGCACCAGTATGGAGCTGAATGGTTCGAGGAAGTGGATAAACCCTTGAAGTCGCAAGGATTTCATAGCACGGAGACTGAGCCATGCTTGTATGCACGCTATCAAGACAATACGTTCTCTCTAATCCCGCTGTAAGTGAACGACGTAGTGATTGCTACAAATTCTGTGAACTATAAGACGTCTCTGTATGCCGCGCATGACAAGAAATATGATTTCAAAGATGGTGGTATTATTCACGAGTTCCTTGTGGTACAAGTGGAGCAGAACGAAAACGGAACATGGATTCATCAGGAGAAATATTGCAAGGAAGTACTGGATCGGTTTGGACTTGGTGGTGCTCATGGCAGTGCAACCCCGATGGAAACCAACGCAAAATTCAAGTCGAAAACCAACATTAAAGAAGAAGAAGATGCTCCTTCATTCGATTATCATGCTGCAATCAGATCCCTGATGTATCTAGGTACGAGTACGCGACCAGATATTTCTTTTTCAGTTGGCTATCTGAGTCGTTTTGTTAACAACCCGACGAAGGAACATTGTGGTACAGTGAAGCGAATTCTGCGTTATTTGGTGTCAACAAGAAAGCAAGGCATTACGTATTCTGCAAGTAATGAAGCTGCGAGCAGTATCGTAGTGAGCGGCCACTGGGATGCTGACTGGGCCAATGACCCAGACAGTCGTAAGAGCATTATTAGATACGTGTTGACAATGGCTGGAGGTGCCATTGCTTGGGCTGCCCGACGACAAACTGTCACCGCAATGTCAACTGTCGAGGCTGAGTATGTGGCTGCCTCTAAAGCTACGATGGAAGGACGTGGAGTAGTGAACTTGCTAGACGAAGTTCTCAATGTAGTCAAAGTGGAAACGAAATTAAAAATAGGAGTCGACAACAATGCTGCTATCGCGTTGGCAAAGGCACCTGCCTACAGCAACCGAACCCGCCACATTGAGCTTCGATGGCATTTCGTACACGAGCAGATTAAGCAGACACTGCTCGAGATTTACAAGGTGAATGGTACGGATAATCCAGCGGACATGTAGCGAAGTGGCTTGGCAGCAATTGCTGACTGCCGCTGTCCAGCTCGCTACAGTGCCTCGGACGACCGACTAACGGAGGTGGTACTCCGAATGTCCGCTGACACTGAGGTTCTTCTCACCTTGAGTACCCGTCGGTCGGGTGGGACTGCTCTCTTCTGGTGACTTGAGGATGCCTTGGTTGTCGATCGTGGGGACCGTATGGACGGTACTTGGGATTGTTGACTGCCGCGCGGATACTTCTTCACGCGGCTGTCGGGTATGGGATGTAGATCGGGTAATTGATCTACGTGTCCTTGTGTTGTGTGTTGTTTTCCTTTCCGTTGCTTGCCGTTTCCGATAGCGGGATCTTGAGGGGGTTGGTGATCACTCCCTAGCCAAGCGATCTAGGGGTTCTCGGTGTCTTCCCTTCGTGTGCGCTGGTGTCTCCTTGGTCGTCAGGATGACCAATATACGTTCCTGCCTGGTATGGAGTGCCACGTGGCTTAAGAAGAGAAGGGGTCCAATGTGAGAGGGCCAAAGAATATTCAGAAGTCTCCCTATATCTCCCTAGCCTATCCGCACAGCCACTCATTCTTTCCTAAACCGTAGCTAAAATGTGCCGTAATCAACGCGTCCTTGTACCCATATCAGCAACGTTCGTCTTGTATCAGGGACTGCGTACTTTCCCCAACGATCCTCGACTTGCGATCTTCGATCCGCGACCTGTGATCCTTGGACCCTCGATCTATGTTTTCTGCTCTTCGATCTTCGATCTTCAACCTTTGATATTCGATCTGGATCTCCACCTCGGTCCTTCAATCTTCGATCTTCCGCCTTTGATCTAGATCTCCTCTTCGATTTTCGGTGTAGATCGAAACTGGTAGATTGAGGCCGATACCTGTTGGTCTGCTTCGTGTACTTCACACCAGATTGTCTCGCCGTGAGACATGTTGCAGTAGATTCCTTGAGTCATGTCCCAGACTTCAGTCGCCGATCAAGACCCATCAATCGCAATTTCCTTGATCTCGCTTCCGCACAGACATGTTTACAAAGGCGTTGCCCAAATGCAGTCTTGAGAAATTCTGCAAGCAGATCGGGATGTCATCTCATTTGTTGCCTGCAAACAACTAAGTGTTCCGGCGCAAGCGTCGGAGGGGGCGTGTTATGATTTGGCTCCGGTTGCCACCATGAGCACCCACTGGACTGGAGTTGAAGTGCAACCGATCGTGAGTCAATAGCAGCCTTGTGATCAGGGACCAGACCCGGGAACAGGCGATGTACCAGTGAGAGTTGGTGGCCGTGGCTCTGAATGCATTTTTGTAGTTAAAGCTCAGTTGGAGATCAGTTATCGAGAGCAGAAGCAGAAGTAGGGAGCTGAGCAGATAAGTAGGAAATTGGAATGTAAGAAGTTGGCGTGGCAGACAAGCCATTGTAGTGCAGTTGGCGA